TAATATATATATATATATTTCAAAAGTGAAGGTGAAATAAAGACATTTGCCAATGCACAAAAACTTGGAAAAATTTAATGCCAGCACATCTACACCCAAGGAAATACAAAGAGAGTTTTCCAAGCAAAGGGAAAATGATCCCTAATTGAAGCTCAATAGCACAGGTATATAAAGAAGTGGTAGCTATATAGTTAAAACTAGATGAATATTGACTGTTAAAACAACGATAATATCTTGGGGAGGTTAAAATATATGTAAAAATACACAGAATTTAAATACATTATATCTCCTGCTATACTTTATGGTAAAAAAATTAAAAAATACATGATAAGGTGTGAAGGGAAAAGGAGTTTACTACACTATTGTTCAAGAATAAGGGTAAAATAAAGTACTTTCAGTCATAAAATAACTTTTTTTCCCCTTTTTAGAGGGAAAGAGATGGGGTTTTCACTCTTTTGCCCAGGTTGAAGTGCAGTGGCATCATCATAGCCCACAGCAGTCTTGATCTGCTAGGCTCAAGAGGTCCTCTCTCACCTTAGCTTCTCAAGTAGCTGGAACTGCATGCACATGTGCCCACATCCAGCTAAGTTTTTTACTTTTTGGAGAGACAAGGTCTCAGTGTGTTGCCCAGGCTGGTGTGGAACTCCTGGGCTCAGGCAATCTTCTTGCTTCAGCCTCCCAAAGTGCTGGGGTAACAGGCATGAGCCACCACGCCTGGCCATAAAAAACTATGAAAGTTTAGTACTAATAAGCTCTTGGTGAAAAAACAACTAAAGAATTTTCTTTGGCAAAATTTAAATGAACCCAGAAAGAAATAGTGGGAGTAAATATATTGGTAAATGTTTTGGTAACACTAAACAAATATGGACTATAAGGGAAAAAAGGAAAGAAGGAAGGGAGGAATGGAGGGAGAGAGAGAGAAAAGAAAAGAAAACAAAGGAAAGAGGGAGGAAAAGAAGAAGAGAGGGAGGGAGGAAGGGAGAGAGTAGCAATAATAATAAATCACTAATTTGAGAAAGTTTAAAAACAAGTTAGAGGCAACATGAAAATGGGGACAGTGTTGTTTCTAAAGTTATAGTATTCAAGTTCTATTTTTCTCTATGCTTTTTGTCTTTTTAACATTTTCTACTCTTGTGTATGCACTATTTTTGTAATCGCGATAAGCTATAAATGCTGGGGGTATTGATTTTCTTTTCTTTTCTTTTTTTTTTTTTGAGATGGAGTCTCGCTCTGTCGCCCAGGCTGGAGTGCAGTGGCACTATCTCGGCTCACTGCAACCTCCACCTCCCAGGTTCACGCCATTCCCCTGCCTCAGCCTCCCGAGTAGCTGGGACTACAGGCACCCACTACCACGCCCGGCTAATTTTTTGTATTTTTAGTAGAGACGGGATTTCACCATGTTAGCCAGGATGGTCTCGATCTCCTGACCTCGTGATCCGCCCACTTCAGCCTCCCAAAGTGCTGGGATTACAGGCGTGTGCCACCGCGCCCGGCAAATTTTCATTTTTGTTAATAAGATTCTGCTTCTGTAGAATGATTAACTATAAGGTCCAAACATATGCTCTATAGATCCATGATCATAGATAATACAATTAAGATTCAAAAAGTTAATAAACTTGTCAAGATTGCACACTGGGCATAGAGTGGGCTAAAAGAGAATTCCGACATCCTCCCTTTCAACTTCACAGTGGGTTGAAAAAACACATCAGTTTTTACTTACACCTGTCACCAAAATCTTACTCATAATATAGACTATGGACCAGGATCTGGACTATTTTTAAGCCGGTTTTTATTTCCCTCAAAAAATGAATTAATAATGAAAATAACTCAGGAAGAGTAATAGTTAGCAATTTAACATTTTAGGTTTTCTATATGACCTGTAATACCAGCTAACAACATAACCTTAAAAAGGCTACTCCAAGTACTATTGCATTTTAAGATGTCCACGAAATGATTGGAGAATCTCTTATCCCTAATGAGACTCTGGGTAAACTTGCACATAATGTTCTTACCAATAATACAGGAAAGCTCTCTTGCTCAAGAAAACATGGCCAGTAATCTCAAACAAGTAAATACGTGCTATGCTGTGAAGAATATGCAAAGGCGAGGAAGATGATTTTCTCTTATAATCTCCCTTAGTATCATATTTAACACACTTTGTAAATGTATTTTTTGGTTAATTATGTAGTTAGGGCATCACGCAGAGTAGCAAGTAAATTGAGACTGTTTTCTGTTTCAAAACCTAGCAGATTTTGGCATCCAAAAAGTATAGATGAGGTATGCTAAAGTTCTGAATATTTGGGTTTACCTCATGTAAAATAAACTTTATTCATGTATTCAACAAATATTTACTGACCACTTCTAAGGCTCAAGGACAGTTTTAGTTACTGGAAATTTGGCCATTCAAGGCCACTGCCTTAAGAGAGCTCACATTCTAGTGGATAAAGCTAAGAAATAAAACTTTTATCTTTTTTTTTATTTTTTATTTTTTTTTATTTTTTATTTTTTTCGCTTTGCAAGGTTTTGTTTGTTTGACAGCAGGAATGGGCTGGGGAGGGTCCCTCACGAGCTGGACCTCTTGTTCCGTCTGGCCTGGCCGTGAGGAGACCCACGGCGGTGCTGGCGGCCAAGGGGAACTGGCAGAACGAGATCAGCTGGAGCGCACTGATTTCGAGGCTTTGTGTTCATTTCGCCCTAGGCCCCTTCTTGATGGGCTTTCCAATGTCCTTTCCCCGGAGCTTGAGGCCGATGGCCCGCTCGATTTTGCCCAGCACCTGGTTATTGGGTATGGCCCGTCGGCTCTCATAGTCCACGATCACCTGTGGCTTCTCATTGATTTTCGTGGCCAGGTCCTTCTGCGTAAGCCCCTTGCTCTGCCGACCCTGCTGGATCACCTTGCCCACCTCCAGGGTCACCCTGTCATGGTGCAGCTCCTCCGTTTCCCGGTCCAGCTTGGCTGTGTTCTTGGTGATAGAATGTTGTTTGTTCTGGCCAGCAGCCCATTTCTTGGAAGTCTCCACATCTTCTCCTCGTCTCTGTGCCGCTAAGATAGCCTGCTTGGACTTGGCCTGGGCGGCGTGGGGCCCTTCTTGCGCAGCACCGTCACCGTGTCCCAGTCGCTCTCGGCCATGGCCCGCGAAGGCCAAAACTTTTATTTTTTATATATGTATATATGTGTGTGTGTGTGTGTGT